TATATATATATATATATATATATATATATATATATATATAACCTAAAATTTAGTCTCGTAAATCTATGCCTCCATGATTAATCAAGCCCATCATTTAATTTCTCCATACCAGGACTAGTACTCATCTGAGCCCACGATGATTTTTATTTCTCTTCAACACCTGGGCCGTCATCCCCCTTCCAGTTGTGGACCCTTACTCGAACCCTTTACATGCCTCCATGATTAATCAAGCCCACCCTTTAATTTCTCCGATCTGAGATTTCAAGTGAGCAGAAGAAAGAGGCTCCCATGATTTGTTAGTTTTCCAGTGCAACATGCAATGGAGGGTTTGGGATTTGAATTAATGATGGATTGATCATCCAACAAATGGCAACAGGCAAATCTCTCACTCACCGCTAGAGCAGCAGCAGCAGCAGCTTCTCTTCTCTATAGATCGCTAAAAAGTACTTTGTGCTGTGATAACGTTAACACATGCCTGAGAAGATAGCCTCCTCCCTCCTGCAAATCTCAATAAAAATATTAATTGGACTGACATCTTTATTTTTTACTGCTAATAAGAACACAATCATTTTGGATAATACGATATCATATTTTTTTTTAACATTTCTAGGAAATATATTGCTTTATTTAATAATTACAATTTTATGTGATCGAATATCTATTTCTTTACCTAAAAAATTATATTTGTAAGTGTATTAGTTTTCAACACTAGTGCCAATGTGTAATTGTTCAAGCAATTTTAAGTGTATTAATAAAGAGGAAACATTAATACTTGAAATTTAGATATTGTGAGTTTTAAGGTTAGAGTGGTTAATGTGTTAAATTCTTTGTGAATGGATCCTCGACAATGAATCAACCAAAAACATGTCAACTACTTAAAAGATATTATGTTTTTCGGGGATTACATATTAAGTTGTTGCTCTCGGACGGTCCAAATCTCAGGGTCCATTTTGGTTAAACTAATCCACAGCCCACGAACTCAAGCACTTTCTTTCATCGTGGGAAACTTGCAGCTGTACATGCTCATTTGATAAAAGCCGAGAATGATACTGTGGTGAATCATATCACACATCACATCATGAGCGTTTCAAAGAATATATTTACATGGCATGATGAAAATCCATGAGAGGATATTGATTGTCCATCACAGTTGCTTTCGCTCATAATTTGGCCGGTTCCTAATGTCAAAGCAAAAGGCTGGCCTTCTCAAATAGGAGGAGGAGGAGGAGGAGCAGAAGATGATGTATCAAATCCGCTGTGACCATCCAGGCCTAAACGAGGAAATTAAAGAGACCGAGGCATCCAGGGGCCCTTGCCCTATGGAAAGAAAAAACACACACAAAAAAGAAGAAAAAAGAAGAAGGAGGGTGGTTCCCACCCTGTACTCATTTTTTCCTTGAACGATGATATTACTTTGCAATCCTGTAATTACAAACTTACAAGTGGTAGAGGTAATAAATCAAACAATCATGATCCCACCAGATATGGATGAACAATAAAGTTGGTACATCACTAATTATGCTCGAAACAGTAAGAAAAGGTGGTTTAATGCCCTAATGGAGTCCCACATCAACAATATATATCTGAGATGCAATCCAAATTAAGGTCGAACAGGTGAAATTACCAGCATGTAATGTCTGTCATTACTATTATTTTCATATCAATTTACATGTATAATATTCATTCTTTGAGCTACCTTAAAAGCACGCACCCTTTAATATCAATTTAAAAGCATGTTTTTTTATCTCCTTAAGAAAAAGAGTGGTTGTAGAATCCAAACTCAAGATTAATTTTCAAAGAAAATAAAACGATAAGAGAAATGTCCAATCTTGGGGGGGTATCTTTTCTTGTGCAAGCAGCGCATGCCGAACCCTAGATATTGCATAAAAGGGGTGCCGTGCTTATGCAAATATATCTAGGTGTGGACTGTGGAAACTAATAGTGTTCAGAATACGTCTTTTCGAAGCTAACCAATTCCAACTAACGTCCCTACCACCCGCATTGAATTCTCACATACATATATCTTGGACGCATTTTCAAAGAAACTTCCCCCCCACCCCCCTTCCCTTGCAAACGCTCTGTACACATGAAGAAGAAGAAGAAGTCCTACTACAAGTCAAATATTTCGGAAGGGCCCAATCCACGATCCCTTTCACTGATTGCTATTACTGTTACCATCTGGACGCCCTTTCCTTTTTTCACCCACTTAATTAGACCTAGGGGAATATTATTGTCTCGTCAAGACCAGCCTTTCTTCGTTTGCCTTCTCTTATGGGGGGCGGGGGGGGCTGACTCCACCACCACGCCACCCCTTTCAAATTTTCAAAAGAGAAATCAAATGCCTTCATTCAAACGAAACGGCTCCCCCACGTCCTACAGGGTGATCAAATCGGTTGTATTGTCTCATCTGTATGACCAAATTAGTGATTCTTCTAAGAATATTAATTATACATGAGAAAGAAGAAGGCAATATATACGTACCCCATGAATCAATCGTTACAAGCAGATATTAAGCATGCAATTAAACGAACGAATTGTTGAAAAGAAGTAATAAATGGACGACGCTCGTGTGGTAAAATGAAAAGGACAGTCGGGGTTCCAGATCCAGTTCCAGTTCCAGCAAGCAGTAGCTAGAAGCAATTAATGACGACCAACACTGATGCCAAGCAGTCTTCTTGGCTCTGGTTGAAGGGACACACACACACACACACACACTTGAACTTGATAAACAGTTCGGTGATCATTTAAAAAAGAAAAACCAACAAGGAAGGTATGTAAGTCTACAATGAAAAAAAAAAGAATATATAAAAGGGATGGTCCAGAAATCTGCCTGCTTTCTTTGCGAGGATTCCGCTGTTTTCTATCGAAAAAGCATATGCTCATTTTTTTTTAATTAATCATCATTGTCGTATTTAATTTCTAGTTTAAGCTTCACATATTAATTAATATATCTCTATGTAAAGTTGATGATAATAAAGTCTCAAATTTCTACCAAATTATCTATCCATCTTATTACAGGGAAAAGGACCTCGTCTCATATTTTGTTCATGCGTTGTGGGGCTTGTGACTTGCGGGGGGGGAGATGGGGGCCTGTTCTTTTATTTCTTCTTTATACGTGTAAAGCACGAATCTATATGAGATCGTATGTGAATTTCTCTCTCTGTCTCTCTCTCTTTTTTATCATTATATATCATCATCATCCATTGAAATCTACATTTCTAAAAATATCTTCGACATACATCAATTTAGTATATTTATAAAAATAAAGTCTCTCAATCATCAACTCAAAATTAAAATTAAATTAAAAAAATCGAAATATATCAAAACTTTCTCAACTCCAAACTTATCCTGTTATAATATTCTACGAGAAACGCGAAAACACTTATAACTAGGAAAGGAAAGGATAGGATGCACTCGTGTGGTGTGAATATAGAGACAAAATGCTTCCCCGCTCACCCCTTCATCTTCATATATGATTTGGTGCTTTACAACAAAAAGCCAGAATTAATGCATGCCAGATATATCCATCCATTATAATTCATAGCCATCTAGCCCGACGTCCCGCGCCCCGTGCCTGCCTGCCAATGCTTAGTTTTCTATTAATAATTTGTATCATCTTTCAAGAATATTTAATTAAAGATTTCTATATATACATGTTGGTAATTATGTGTGTGTGTGTGTAAACGTAGAGAGAGAGAGAGAGAGAGAGCAGGGCTGCGTATATAGTATAGGGAACCCACCACTTTCCAAGCAAAATGTTGTCCCTTCCTATACATCCGATATCCCTATGCCAAGGGATTCTCTATTTTTTTTATAAAAAAAAATCTCACATGCTAGGGTTTTATAATCTAATTAATCCTTCTTTCAGTTTCATCATGATGTAAGATTGATGCGCATGCATTCTCTTATGCTGCCTTATCTAATTAATTAAGTCTCTTTTTGTTCATATACACACACAATAACCATTGACCTAAAACTAGACAACAAACAACTACATGTAATTTTTCTCTCTTAATTAATTTCTCTTTGGGTCTATATATCCTACCTAACGTTACTACTTCTTATTCTTCGGTGGTTAGGACGTTGTTCTATTTCTCATTCACCATGGCTTCAACTACAAATTAAATTACGAGAACTATATATATAATGTATTCCCTTGTTACGTTTATAATATATATATATATATATATATATATTATAAACGTAACAAGGGAATACATTGACAGCGTTGCCCTTACAGTCGTCGTTGCTTCCTTCTTGCAACCTAGCTGATCTATGTATTGTATCAAACAATAAGTAAGAAAAGGTGATGAATTGCCTCTCCGGCACGCCAGTACAACAACAGAAATATATACTTGAGTCAGTACTGGATTGAATCTCCGGTCTTTCAAATTGAATTCGATGACTAATTTAAATCATCATTGAAGATTATTTGGGGATAATAAAAAGTAAAAAGGAAAAAGAGGGGTTGGGGGGGATGCGTGGTCAAGAATATGTATATAGTGACAAAACGGGTGAGCTAGCTAGTGTCCTGTGCCATGCTGAGATGTATGTTGGGGTAAAGAGCTACAGTTTTCTAGTTATTATACATGATGAGTGGCTTGTAGTTTACTTAATTAGAACCTAATTTAATCAATTAGTCTGATGGGAAATGTGAAGAGAAGGAAGTTTTGGATACAGACACTGTACAATTACTGTGGAGAATGATGTGATAAATGGAATGGCTATTTTTGGTTTCTAGCACCCTTTTTAAAAAAAAAACAAAAACATTGAAAAAATAACATAATTGTGAAAAATTAATAAAAATAGAATAGTTTGTATATGTTACTGCAACTTATATAATTTGTTGCTATTTATACTAATAATATTTAAAAAAAAATATTAAATGAACATGAGAGAAAAAACAAAAAAAGAAGATCATAAGAACATATTCAATACTAGTATAATTAAAAAGATTTTGTTGAGATAAATTCACCAATACTAAAATAAATCATTAATAATAGGCTGAGTGGATTATATTTAATAATTAAAGATGAAGAATGACATTTTTATTTTGTATGAAAATTGTAATCCACTTGAATATTATTGATAATAATTTTTTAGTATAGTTATATTTATAGATGTATTAGAAGATGCTGGTAATATTTAATGGGAGCTTGGTTCCACAATTTTTTTTCAGTTGTTTTAATTAACTATGTTAAGTTTTTTTAAAAAAGTTTATAAAATATAGATAAATAGATAGAGAGACGTACAAGCAAGACAAAAACTCCTCTGGCTCCTGCTCCTGGTCCTAGAAAAGGTACACACAGTTTGGGAGAGAGAGAGGAGACGAGAGAAGCACATCCAAAGTTTGACTGGACCCGAAAAATGAGAACAAAATTTTAAAACAAGTGGGGGAGCAACAGATTCACATCTCCCACAATTCACTCCTCTCTTTTCCTTTTCTTTTCTTTTCTTTGCGCCCTCTCTCTCTCTCTCTCTCTCTGCTCCCTTGCCTACCCCCGATGCACCACCATTCAACTTGTCCTCTTGAGAGACTCACTACTTCTAATATTCTATTCTCTCTCTCTCCTTGTTTCTGAAATGTGTGTGCGTGTGAAGGTGTCACTTTACTTGGTCTTAACAACATGAATGAATGACATCTTTCTATTTCTTTCTTTAGTTTTTATGCCCACTTTCTTTCTTTCTTTTCCTTTTCCCGAACGAAACGAAACGAAAACCCTCCCTTGCCTTGCCCCTGGGCTGAGCAGCCTGCCTCAGCAGCCATACTTGTACTTGTTCTTGCTTTGCTTCCTTCAAGTGGTAATGCCATCGCTCGTACCAGGATATGTCTGTCACACGTCGGTAATGCTATCTGTCAACAAGTGAAAGCCGACATTACTTTCTCTCTGCACATCGTACCCCTCCCCTCGCGCACACCCTCTTCTGTCTTCTTCCTTAACTGATCCTGGGATTTCCTTAGACTTAATTTGTACTCTACAAGCAACCATCACATCACCTTCCTCTACTTCATAACCACTCCAGGTAAGTAAATTTCCCCCCCCTCTTCTTCTCTTTTTTTATTTTTCAGGAAAAAAGGTTTGGAATTTAGTCCCACTTGATTACTGCCTCTCTGACGGTGATTTCTACCATCTCTTTCTTTTCTTAATTTATTCTTAATTACTACTTTATCTTCTTTTATTTTCAGATTTTCAAGCAACAAGTCAAAGTTTGGAAATTTGGTGACATATGAAAACCCCAGAAGGAGATTTAATTAACAGCAGATCTCTGAATGCGCTGAGAAAAGATGCTTCTTTGATTGCAAGGAAGATTCAGAGAAACTAACAGACAGAAGAAGGGAGTGATTAAGCTTTCCTTTTCTCAAGATTGATTCAACTGCAATTATAATGCAGAGAGAGCTTTAGAGGGCTAAGTGAGAATCTTGCATGTTGAGCCAAATCTGAACTCTCAGATTAACCCCAAAAGGCTAAAAATAAAAATAAAATGAAGAAACACTGGAGGATATCATCACAAAGGCAACCACCCAAAGCCATGATTAGAATATTTGGTTATGTATTGCTGTTGCTGCTGTTATTTATGCCATCATCATCACAAGCCAGAGAGTTATCTTCACAGCAAAGTAGCAATAATGAAGTTGTGGGGTTATTAGCCTTCAAGAAATCCTCTGTTCAATCTGATCCAAAGAACTTATTAGCCAACTGGTCTCCCAATTCTGCAACTCCATGTTCGTGGTCAGGCATCTCTTGCTCTCTTGGTCATGTCACCACTCTCAACCTCACCAAAGCTGGTCTCATTGGAACCCTAAACCTCCATGACCTCACTGGGGCCTTGCAATCTCTCAAACATCTTTATTTGCAAGGAAATTCATTCTCTGCTACTGATCTTTCTGCTTCCCCATCCTGTGTTCTTGAAACTATTGACTTGTCTTCAAACAATCTCTCCGACCCTCTTCCAAGAAACTCCTTTTTAGAGTCTTGTATTCATCTCTCTTATGTTAATCTCTCTCACAATTCCATTTCTGGTGGTACCCTTCGATTTGGTCCTTCCTTGCTACAACTTGACCTCTCTCGCAATACTATTTCTGATTCTACCTGGTTGACCTATTCCCTTTCTACCTGCCAGAACTTAAATCTTCTCAACTTCTCTGATAACAAGCTATCTGGAAAACTTGGAGCAACTCCCTCGTCTTGCAAGAGTCTATCCATTTTAGACCTATCATACAATCCATTCTCTGGGGAGATACCTCCAACTTTTGTTGCAGACTCTCCACCATCTCTCAAGTATTTGGATCTCTCACACAACAACTTCTCTGGCAGCTTCTCCAGCCTTGATTTTGGGCATTGTAGCAATCTTACTTGGCTCAGTTTGTCACAAAATAGGCTCTCTGGAGATGGATTTCCATTTAGTTTGAGGAACTGTGTGCTTCTACAGACGCTTAACCTCTCCCGTAACGAGCTAAAATTCAAGATTCCTGGTTCCTTGTTGGGGAGTTTAACAAATTTAAGGCAGCTGTCTCTGGCTCACAATCTGTTTTATGGTGATATTCCTCCCGAGTTGGGACAGGCGTGTCGAACTCTACAGGAATTGGATCTATCAGCAAACAAACTCACAGGTGGCTTGCCGCAAACTTTTGCATCGTGTTCTTCTATGCGAAATCTTAATCTTGGCAACAATCTGCTCTCAGGGGATTTCCTTAGTACTGTTGTGAGCAAACTTCAAAGTCTGAAATATCTGTATGTTCCATTCAACAACATCACTGGTACTGTGCCTCTGTCTCTTACAAAGTGTACCAAACTTGAAGTGCTGGACCTCAGTTCTAATGCTTTTACTGGGGATGTTCCTTCTAAATTGTGCTCCTCGTCAAAGCCCACCGCGCTGCAAAAGTTACTCCTAGCTGACAATTATCTATCAGGAAAAGTTCCACCAGAGCTTGGAAGCTGCAAGAACCTGAGGAGCATTGATCTCAGTTTCAACAACCTAATTGGACCAATTCCCATGGAGGTTTGGACCTTGCCAAATCTCTTGGACTTGGTTATGTGGGCAAACAACCTTACTGGTGAGATCCCGGAAGGCATCTGTGTTAACGGAGGAAACCTCGAGACTTTGATTCTCAACAACAATCTTATCACAGGAAGCATTCCGCAGTCCATAGGCAATTGCACCAATATGATTTGGGTTTCCCTTTCCAGCAACCGGCTTACCGGAGAAATTCCTGCTGGCATTGGAAATCTAGTTGACCTGGCTGTTCTCCAAATGGGTAATAATTCACTTACCGGGCAAATACCACCAGAGCTTGGCAAGTGTCGGAGCCTCATTTGGCTTGATTTGAACAGCAACAACCTAACTGGTCCTCTTCCACCTGAGCTTGCAGACCAAGCTGGTCTAGTTGTTCCTGGAATTGTTTCTGGGAAGCAATTTGCATTTGTAAGAAATGAGGGCGGGACATCATGCCGAGGAGCTGGGGGATTGGTTGAGTTTCAGGGTATCCGGGCAGAAAGGCTGGAAAATCTTCCTATGGCTCACTCTTGCTCAACAACAAGAATTTACTCTGGCATGACAGTTTATACATTCACCACCAATGGCAGCATGATATTCCTTGATCTTGCCTACAACTCACTGTCAGGAGATATCCCTCAAAATTTTGGTTCAATGAGTTATTTGCAGGTCTTGAACTTGGGGCATAATAAGCTAACCGGAAATATTCCAGACAGTTTTGGAGGTTTGAAAGCAATTGGAGTTCTGGATCTCTCACACAATGATCTCCAAGGATTTCTGCCAGGGTCTTTAGGGACTCTCTCGTTTCTTAGTGATCTTGATGTGTCGAACAACAACCTTACTGGTCCTATCCCTTCTGGGGGGCAGTTGACAACTTTTCCTCAATCCAGGTATGAAAACAATTCTGGTCTTTGCGGTGTGCCATTGCCCCCATGCAGCTCTGGAGACCACCCCCAAAGTCTTAACACTCGGAGAAAGAAGCAATCCGTGGAAGTAGGTATGGTCATTGGCATCACATTTTTCATCTTGTGCGTCTTTGGTCTTTCACTGGCTCTCTATCGAGTAAAGAAGTACCAGCAGAAGGAAGAACAGAGGGAGAAGTACATCGAAAGTCTCCCAACTTCAGGTAGCAGCAGCTGGAAACTTTCAGGTGTCCCCGAGCCTTTGAGCATCAACATTGCCACATTCGAGAAACCTCTACGGAAGCTGACTTTTGCCCATCTACTTGAAGCTACAAATGGTTTCAGTGCTGATAGCTTAATAGGGTCTGGTGGGTTTGGAGAGGTATACAAGGCACAACTAGGAGATGGTTGTGTTGTTGCTATAAAGAAGCTGATTCATGTCACAGGACAGGGTGACAGGGAGTTTATGGCAGAAATGGAAACTATCGGGAAGATCAAGCACCGAAACCTGGTTCCTTTGCTGGGTTATTGTAAAATTGGAGAGGAGAGGCTTCTTGTGTATGAATACATGAAATGGGGGAGTTTAGAGTCTGTTCTTCATGACAGGTCGAAAGGAGGATGCTCAAGGCTTGATTGGGCAGCAAGAAAGAAGATTGCAATAGGGTCAGCAAGAGGCCTTGCTTTCCTTCATCACAGCTGCATACCTCACATTATCCACCGTGACATGAAGTCTAGTAATGTTCTTTTAGATGAAAACTTTGAAGCGCGGGTATCTGATTTTGGAATGGCAAGATTGGTGAACGCCCTTGAAACACATCTTAGTGTGAGTACACTTGCTGGAACTCCAGGTTATGTGCCCCCTGAGTATTATCAGAGCTTTAGATGCACATCAAAAGGGGATGTCTACAGCTATGGTGTCATACTTCTGGAGCTCCTCTCAGGCAAGAAGCCAATAGATTCCGCTGAGTTTGGTGATGATAACAACCTTGTAGGATGGGCAAAGCAGCTATATAGAGAGAAGAGATGCAATGAGATATTAGACCCTGAGTTGATGACACAAACATCTGGAGAGGCCAAATTATACCAGTATTTGAGAATTGCTTTTGAGTGCCTTGATGACAGACCTTTCAGACGGCCAACCATGATTCAAGTTATGGCCATGTTCAAAGAGCTTCAGGTAGACTCTGAAAGCGATATCCTAGATGGTTTGTCATTGAAAGATGCAAGTATTGATGAATTCAAGGAGGAGTCTAGTTCATGATGTTTAGCCTTCGATTGGACTAGAAGTTGTCTTTGGCACCTTTACTGTGCTCACCTGGAAGTAGAGTTATTTGCGCTGCTGAACTGGATATGGGCTAATCCTTCAAATTTCAGCTACTGTAAATAATAGAATGCTGAAATGACAGAGAGAAAAGTAGCAGGGAAACGGGGAGAGAACAAAGGAAAGGGTCCTCCGGTCGCTAAACGATCAGTAACTTGATACTTTTTCCTTTTTTTTCCATTGATCATCATGGTTATTACAAAAGACTTGAAACCTTGTCTCTTCACACGAGCTTCTTATTCTGTCACAGTTTTGCTAACTGATGTTCCACTATTTGTTTGTTTATTTCCAATTATTGCTGTTTATAGGAAGCTATGATTTTAGAAATGAACACACTGTTTTGTAAAGTTGTAGTGATAGCATTGTTGGAAAGTAAACCACAAGAGTATTGCTTGCATTTAGTAGCTGATGAGTAAATCTTATTAAGTTTTTATAAACATTGTTATGTTTAAGATAGCATGGATCTAACATTCATACAGAACCTAATATACTTGAACTTGGTGCCAAGTTCAAGTGGTAGCTTCCTAAGTTCAAGGTGGTGTTGGTGTAGCATGTATGCTAAATCCAATATACTTGGACTTGATAACAAATACATAGGTGACATGGGTTTGACATAAATTTGATAACAAATATATAGGTGACATGGGTTTGATATGTATACCAAGTCCAAAACACTTAGACTGGATAATGTTCCAAGTTCGAGATAGCGCGAGTATGACATGTATGTCAGATCTAAAATGTTTGAACTTAGTAGTTAGTCAAGTCCAAAATAATTACCAATCCTTTCTTGGCATGTCTAAGAGAGTGATTAAGAACTTAATCTTTATAGACTTAGCTATATTTGACATCTTAAACTCTAAATCTCTCTACACCTTTTTAGGTATATAAAAATCCTTAATAAACCTACCATATTCTTATCAAATAAGGAATATTTATCTATCATTCAATGCTATCAGGATAATTACCCTATAAACCTTTCTTTTATAGACTATAAATATACAATGAGAGCTTTTTTATAAAAGGTTTACAGTCTTCAATTTTATTACATTTATAATTTCAAAGCATTTCTTTCTAGAATATTCTTGTATTTTTTTTTTAAAAAAAATACTTATTTAAGTATCAAAAAGTCCTCACCTTTACCAAAGAGGATCTTTTACAGGTATTAGCCACTGACAGCTTTAGCTTATCAAAGAATCAAATATAAGCTATCGATTACCTTGGCTAAAGAGAATAAAGAAGATTGTCAAGTTTAATTGATCAACCTAGGAGCCTTATTCTCATGCTAATTGGATTTTTTGAGACATCATCAATGGTGTCGTGTGAAAAATTGATTAAAAAACAATTAGTTTATACTTAAAACATGTTTTTAGCATTTCTAGGGCATGTTTTTAGAAAGCGGGGCAAATCAATTTGTTGCCCTTGGCTCTCCTACCTAACATGAGGTTCAACAACTCACTAGTCAGGTGCAACTCTTCACCTAAGCTATATTGACAATCTAAGGGCACAATCGAACCTTGCCACCGCAACAAGTCTTAACACCATCAACAACCTACATTGGCTTAACATTAGGGTCATCGGTTGTACCAAGAGCTTGTATATAATTTTATTACTTATAGAAGACAAGACTATATGATGTCCATGAAGGTTCCTCAATGGACTTGTCACACCATTGTCATATCCATGCACAGAGCAAATACTCCAAACACATATTCTTTAGTTACTATGGGATGGACATCAGTCACTCAGAATGTATAATCTTAAATAAAAATGTAAGTTTCTTAAATATGAATGACTTATTTAAAATGATCTTTTATTTTCTCGAAGTGGTCCTTTAGAAAGATAACCTCATCAATTCCCAAGGGATGAATGTAATCTCTCAAGTGTTATATGCATCAATCTCTAAGGGATAGACATAATCTTTCAAGTGCTATATGCATCAATCTTTAAGGGATGAATGTGACCTCTCTTGTGCTATATACATCAATCTCTAAGGGATAGACATAGTTTTCCTTGTACTATATGCATCAATCTTCAAGGAATGGATGTGATCTCCCTATTACTATATACACCACTTGCTAAGGGATAAAAGTGATCTCTTAAAGGGCAACATCTCCAACACAGTGTTGTATAAGGAAACAATCAAGAATTGTCCCCGGAGAAAAGAGAACATTAAGGAGGGCCAACAACCATGGAGTGTGGAAATATAAGCTATTATTATCCAATATTCGTCAGGTATATAAACACCTCTCACCTTTTATCTCAAAAAGATGATGATACATTTTTTAGCCAAGTTGTCACTTCCACCTTTTCTAAGTCTTTAAATGTGAAATAACATATTAAAGGCTTAAAGGGCAACTGATGTGTCAATTTTTTTTTTATTTTTTTATAAATAAATAGGTCTAACACGTATGTTGGATCCAATACACTTGGACTTAACAGTGCCCTTGGTTCAAGATGGTGTGGGTCTGGCACGCGTGCCAAACCTAATATGCTTGGACCTTGTAGTTAGCCAAGTCCAAGACTCTTATACTTGGCAGTACACCATATTTAAGGTGGCATAGGTCTGGCATGTATGCAAAATCCAATACGCTTGGACTTACAAGTCTAGTATGCATGTCAGACTTAATACAATTGGACTTAAAAGTGCGTCAAGTCCAAGGTGGCTTGGGTGTAGCACATATGATAGACCTAATGCATTTAGACTTGACAGTATGCTAAGTTTAAGGTGGCGTGGGTCTAGCATGTATTCCAAATCCAATACACTTGAACTTAGTAGTTTGCCAAGTCCAATACACTTGGACTTGACAATACACTACATCTAAAATGGCGTGGGTCTGGCATGCATGACAAGCCCAATACGCATAGATTTGGTAGTTGGCTAAGTTTAAGACATTTAGACTTGACAATTAACCACATCTAAAATCACGTGGGTTTGGCACGCATGTTAGACCCAATATGCTTGGACTTAATAGTCAACCAAGTCCAATGTGGTATGGGTTTGGTATGCTTATCAGACCCTATATTCATGGACTTGGTAGTGCACCAAGTCCAATATGGTGTGAGTTTAACACGCATGCTAGACCAAATACGCTTGGCCTTTACAATCAGCTAAGTCCAAAATTGCATAAGTCTGACTTAGAAGTGCGCCAAGTTCAAGGTGGCATGGATCTAACAAACATATTAAACCCAAAATACTTGGACGTGGTAGTGTATCAAGCCCAAGATAACTTGGGATTGACACGTATGCCAGACTTAAGGCGTTTGGACTTGGCGGTCAGCAAAGTCCAATATAATTACCAATCCTCCCTTGGCATGTCTAGGGGAGTGACCAACCTTTTTTGGCTCTAACCTTAGGAAAGAATTCGACCTCTATAAACTTAACTACATTTAACTTCTTAAACTCTAAATCTTCATACATCTTTTTAGATGTATAAAAGTCTTTTATGGACCTACCATATTCTTATCATGCAAGAGATATTTATCTTTCATTCAATGCTATTAGAGTTATTACCCTGGAGATCCTTTTTTATGAACTATAAATACATTATGAGAGGTTCATGACAAAAGGTTCATAATCTTCAATTCTCTACTGCATTTATATTTTTAGAGCATCTCTCTTTATAATATTCTTGTATTTTTTCTCTCTAAAAATATACTTATTTAAATATCAGAAAGTCTTCACCTCCACTAAATAAAATTTTTTACAGGTACTAGCCACGAGCAGCTTTAACTTATCAAATGACCAAATATAAGCTATCAATTATCTTGATTAAGGAGAATGGAGGAGATCGTCAGAGCCAATTGATCAATTAATTTTTCAATTTAGGAGTCCTATTCCCAGGCTAGTTGAATTTTTTGAAACATCATTAGTAGCATACTTGCATAACTATTCTATCAATTATCTTGGTTAAAGAGAATGAAGGAGATTGTTATAACCAATTAATCAACTATTTTTTTAATTTAGTAGTTGTATTCTCGGTAGTTAAATTTTTTAGAATATCATTATCATTAGTAGCATACTTGCATAACTATTATATCACTGGACAATGTAGAATGGATTGAAGCAGAATATGATCCACAAGCATTTGTTTTCCAATTAATCTCTGTAACATTCCAATTTCAGCATGAGGTTATCCCATTTGAAGCTATAAATCTAACCACCATTCACCCTCCTCATGAATCATGGCATATTTAAAACCCCTTCAAATCAAAGTTGGAACACAAACCATCCATTTAAGTGAAGCAGCCCTAGGGAGGTAGCTTAAGTCTATCAGGTTTCTTTTCATGAACACCGTACAATTTATATTCATTCAAAACGTAATAAGAAAGTTCAGGAAAAAAAAACAGTGCCCTTGAACATCGCATAAAGAGACCTGTGAAGATTGTGGTAATAAAAATGGAATAAAAAATATTTACATTCTCCTTGTTGATAGCAGCAGTTCCAAACAAGCAGCATGTCAAGTAAAGCAATCTCTTCAAAGAACCTGTACTTATCTCATTCGCTTTTTATCTCATTTTGCTTTCAAAGGCTCCTTCTATTTGCTGTGTAAAATGGAAAAAACTCAATAAATAAAGAAATAGGAAGCACCTCTTCGTTGGTCGGTGACATAAGCAAATGCTGGTGGATGTTGTCTGAGGAACCTCTCCGGCTGATGGCATCCTGCGTGTGTTAAGGAGTTCAAGGATGTTTGGCCCATGATTATTTTGTCTGTTTAATTTAAGAAAGGTCTAGTACTGGGTTCCTGTTTAAGAATATGAATCTTTTTAGCACCACTCATGTTTTTGTTTTATTCAGCTGCAAGAATCAAACACTCTCATGATGTTCTTGACAAAACTCCTAAGGTGGATAATGAAGCATTTGCCAACATAAGCATGCATATATAAATCCTTCCTGGCTCATATATTCTTCGTGCCTTAAGCCCCTTAGAATGCTTTTGATTTTAGGAAGGAAAATGAAATGCAACGTGGCCCACCAATACCATTCCTCTTTTCTTCAGTCCATTTTTCTTGTTTTCTCTTATAAATCCAAGCTGTCATCTTGTTCCTAATGCATCCATTATTAGAATTTCTTCATGAATAACAAGATTTTTTTTTTCCTTCCTTCCCTTTTTTGGCTCAAGGATAAGATTGTTTCAGTGATACTCGTTGTTTCTGTCCCTTCTCGTGGCATTAGAATAATCACTCCTGATGTTGTTTATTTTATATCCCATTGACTTTTGGTGTTTGCATCACAAACTAGCTATATTTCAACGAGAAGCTCCAGCAGTTGATTTGGGCTAAACTGAACAGCTCCATGCTCCTGATCTGAGGTCCCCTCTGTGGCTTGGCTTCCATAACATTACATAATATAGCTGCATTCAAAGCATGATCTCCTGCACTCTGCTTCAATCACTTTCCACTGCCC